ATAATGCTACCTCATCTAGTAGTTCCTTAGAACACAGCGATTTCTAAACTATTGTAGCTGGTATAAGCACATCTGTGTATAGATATGTTGAATCCAGCACATAGTTCCACCCACTGGTTCATTAGAAACCCAAGTTATCGAGCAGTCCATGGAGGGCCCCTCATAAAAGACCGTCGTTGGGTGTTTAAGACAACCTGCCCGGTGAGCAACCTGCTTTTTGAGCGCAAGAAGGCAAGGCGCAGTCTAGTTCCAAATATTGCTGGACATACCAGTCAAGCTTGCTGGCCTCCTTTCCTAGGTGGAATTGCTTGGTGCGCCAGGAATTGCGGCGATAGATTCCTTGGTGAAGAGAAATGTGCAGTAATCACCGTGAGCAACTTGCGTCAGAATGGTTATTTCAGCAATGTAAGTAGCTACTGGCGTGAACACCAGTGCAAGGATTTGCCGTGGCTAGCAACTGGGTGTGTCCAGGTAGCTGTGGGAAGGTGCTAACTTAGTATCGCGGACTGCACTCAGAAGCCCAGCATCAAATGGCGCGGGACAAAACCAATAATGTAGCCGACGACGTGTGTTGAAATCATCAAGTGATAGCCAGCAACGGCAAAGACCCCAATTCTTGAGTTAGTCTAGAAAACAAATACTGTTACCGAACGGGCCTCTGAACACCACGCTGATCCTAAGAATTTGCACCCGACGCCAAAGTACTTCGGTACCGCCATTGTGAACCATGTAGTCTGGATGAGCTTTAAGCTCTGCTTACCACGCGCGGAAAAGCCACCCACAGTCCGCAGTCTATGGCGATGAGCCGTAAGAAGCTAGTATCCGGGATTTGGAGTTGGCTATCTGGAGTTTCCGGAAATAGCTAGCGTTCGGTGAATTCAGTCAAGTCAGGGGATAGCTCAGGAGTAATAAAAATGGTCGCGCGCTGGTTAGCTTTCCCGCTGCGTCCTCTGGAGGGTATTAAACGCAGCTGGATTGTCGGCCTTTCCCCTAGGATCTGGGTAGGGGATTCACTCGAACCTACGCAACCTGAAGATTGCTTTCAAGGTTTCACCTTCGTGTTCTCGGTTCATCGGCGCTCATCGTATTTTACCTTGAGCCTAATGGCAAGTACAACGCATAAGACGTACCACATTTACGGCGTGAGGTTCGCCTTAGGCAAAGTTAGCATTCACCCTGGGCTCAGCATGTAAATTTATTGAGCGAAATTTAAATGTTTCCTGCGTTCTCTGGAGATTAAAAGTGGAAAGCTTATTGCTTTCCAGTTCACAATCGGTGAACAATAATGAGATCACGCGTAGTAAAAATGTTTGGTCATTTAGTATTATTTCTGATGGCAGATCATTCGTAGTTGCAAGGACGTTGTCGAAGATCAGTCAGCAAGCACGGAGAAGTGCTCTAATTTTCGCAGGACTATTTGACCTCGGGGGTTAGCATTTCTCCTAAGCACGCATTCTTACTTAATCCCCTTGTCCATAACCAGTTTAAGCAGTGACCGTGAAAAGTCTTTTGGGGTCTTAGGTTGGCCGGCTTTCATCGCTTTAGCTTCGCAACAAGCTGCGCTGTTTGTGCTCTATTGCACCCGAACGAAGGAAAGCTGTTCTCCAAGGTATTTTACAAAGTACCCCAGAAAGCAGATGCTTTGAGGTAGAAAGGGAATGATTTCGACCACGATTTACCTTTGGGGTCGGCTAGCCTAAGTTGGTAGGTGATAGAATGAGGGTAGAATTTGTTTCATATGCTTAGAATTCTAGTACGGACCTTGACGTCCTTCGTCTAATGGCTTTGTGTTTGGTTGGGTTTATTCTGTCTGTAGTACAGGAACTTACGCTCACTACTGTGGCACAGGGCTTACGCGTACGTTTTAGCCCATTATTGTTCCTGCTAGGGAGCGGTTATTCTACTAACTCTATGGAGGATGCGCGGCTTCGATTTCGTGGTTTGGGTGCAGTATTAGCAGGTCCGGGCAGGTGGTTGCATAAAACAGGTGACGCGCCGACAGAGTTAGACACGGTTTGCACAGAAAAGTATGTATCCTGAAGGGGAGCTAGTTTACCAGAAGTACATTGAGTGGTAGGGAGCAGGAAGGTCCCTAATAAGCTTATTCTTTTCGTGAGCTTCCAAAGTGTACAATTGGTGGTTGTAGCATCAATTTGAATGAGTTGGCATCAACTCTACAGGATTTTGGGCTGTTCAGTAGGCAGGTGTGTAATAAAAACTTGAAGCAAGCAGCTGGCTGCGGCTTAACGATAACCTCTGGCCGCAGGTTCTAGATCGATAAATACAAGAGTAGAGGGAGCAAAAGCTGAAAGATCTTTGAACCGCCTCGGAATACACAGCTTCCAGGTGCACTCTCTTGTCGAATTGATAAGGCTTAGTTGGAAAGAGCTTTCAACTCGTTTCCCAATTCTCTTAGTGCAATGCGCCCGGTATAGACGAGGTCTCGGTGACGTCGGCGATAGCCAAATTTTAAAAGTTGATCTTCTGGTTTCGAGTGGGTTAGGGCGTTCGCGTAGCCTAAGAAGAAGCTTCGTGCATCACCGCTGAAACTTTTCGTTAGTAACTTTCCTACTTCGGAAGTGGCGCTAGGACTAGTAGTCAGTATTGGTGGCCTAGACTGATACGGAAGGTGAAGAGAAGTGTGAATATCTGCAGCGTCATGCTGTGGGAGGATCTCTTTATGACGCCCAACAACTTGTTCGCTGCAGAAGTTTTCTTGAATGTGTCACAAGTAGTTTTATGACCAGATGCTACTACTGTTCCCAGGTCCTTTACTTGTGTGTCAGCCTTGAGCACTTATTCCCCAAGGTTATACCTTCTCAGTGGTTCCACAGCTCCGATGGGAAGCGCAGAGCGCATACCTTTGTTTACCGGCAGACCGCAATCGATAGCGTAGTGGACAAATCTTCTACCACCTATAGCGACCAAAATATGCAAACATTGGCGAAAGAAATGCAGAAATCATGTTGTGCAGCTTCGGTAATCTAAAATCTTTAAAATTGCCAAGAACCAGGATTGTTGTACTCTTTGCCTTGACGTGGCTTTGACAGATGGCTTTTCGGCTAACATATAAGCGGCAGGCATTACTCGAATATGCCTAATGGTAGCGTGCCCGACAGACGGCCGTGGGGCCCGGGTTCCAATTCTGGGTGCGCCGACTTTTGTGCTCGATCCGGCGGTAAATGTATTCACATTGGAACTTTACATAGGGGATTGCGATGTCCAAAGCGCATAGGCGACATTCAAACTTTAAAAATTTAAAATGGCTATGCACTTGTGCATCAACAGGAAGGCATCTCTGCATAATAATGTCATTCTTGCACAATATGCTAGGTTAGGATGAAACACCAAGGCAAGGTTCGCTCGATAACGATTAGGGTATTCATTTGTTCTCCAGTTTTCCTTCAGTTCAAGTGGATGCTTCGAAGGTTAAAACAACCGTAAAATCCAATGTTACGAAATGCTGAAAGAGCTTGTTTTGCGGTACACTACACCCTTATTACCAGTGGAGGCTCATGCGGAATAAGCACTGAATATTCCGCAGCTCCTACGTTCTGAGGTTTAATGGGAGGTTTAGTGGTCACTTACGGCATAAATTTGCGCACATAAGTTGCCGTTAATCGGAAATCCTTGGTAGAACCATTTTAAGTTTGAACGCTGTGGATGCTCCGCAGGATATTCGGGACCATTTCCGGCGCTTTGCTTGTTAGGTTATTCTCAGTCTTTGTCAGGCCAAACTTGGAATACTGCATCCAGGCTTGTCCACCTAGCTTAGTCAGGGATGGGATGTCATTGGAGAGTGCTGCGAGTTGGAAACAAAATAGTTCATGGACTACCGATCATTTCTTATCCAGAGAAATTACTTAAGCTGGGAATGTTCTCGAAGCTTTATCGTCGCCATCGAGGGGACCTGGTCTTGACCTATAGCATACTTACCGGTAAAAGCGGACACCATTTATCTGGGCTTTTCCAACCGGCTCGCCTTCCCTCTCTACGAGATCACGCGACGAAGTTTCACAAAACTTGATCGGTTGGAGTCCGAGAAACTTTCCTTTAACCAAGCCGAGTAGTGCATTTCTGGAATGCACTGCCCGAGAACGTGCTATTGACACCAACAGTGAAAGGGTTCGAACCATAACTTGACGGTCTTGACATTCATTTCTTAAAATTCCCATTTACATCCTATATTATTCGCCTTATGGAATTAGTAACTCTATTACATTTTGCTTTTTGATGCCCTCATGACTTTCGTACTTTGGTTCTTATTTCACTTTACCGGTGCGGCGGGAGCCGCCAATGCAGGTCGCGTGGGTATTCATTGGTTGACCATGGTGTTATTCGCGCGCACTGATCTGACGCTTCGTGATTCCTGTTATCGCGGGTGAATAATATCCTGGAACAAAGACGCTGCACGGAAGGAACATTCACGGAGATTTATCCTACTGTTCCAGTCCCACTTGAACATGCACGCCTTCCGTTCTCTGATCTACCGCGAGTAGTCCAACGTTCGCGGAGCGGATGACTTTTCGCCACCCACTTGATAGTCCAGGAGTGCAGTGGGTTTAGCGTTTCCTGGTATTCGTAGCCAAAGAATGCTGCTCACGGGTCGCAGTGACAGCTGATGCTTTTGGAACCAGCTTGCTGAAGATATTTGTCAATTCGTGTTAAATATTATAACTCGCTCTGTGCGTTCATTCCTAACAGCTGGCGCGCTGGACAACCATTGACAGAGACGTGACTAAGAAAATTCACACACTTGGACATGCAACTGATCAAGCGATATGTTTAAGAAGTCAAACCATTCTCTAAGTACACATGCAACTCGTTTGTTTCATGCTTCTTCACTTAAACTTTCGCGGTATGGCACAGCAAATGTAGCTCAACCGATGTAAGATATCTAGATTGAACAATATTTTACAACACACAACGTGGAATATAAACTCCGTTATACCTAACGCATGCATGACGCAAGCCAAGTCTAAGTGCTCATTATGGACAGATTTCTTTAACCATGTTAAAGTCCACATTAGCTTTACGGTGCTCATGCATTCGTTGCTAGCCGCAGTCATCAACCTTCCACTATACTAACGTTACGGCAGATTGTTTCGTCGTGCTCCTGTCTCTTCCTGGCACGTGGATACTCTATGGATGTTTTTCTTAATATTTTTTTGGTATGATAATATTATTTGACACCATTTTTCGCCAGCACTCTGCTTTCTGCCCTGATTAAATTCGATATTACGTCACAGGTATTTTTTGAATTTCTCAATTCACACATTCCCTTCAGGATTTAGACACCAAACGTCTATTATATCCAGAAAATGACGCCAGCGTTGACAAGATAACCGTCACAAAGAGTTTTAATTTGGAATCCTGCACCTGGGATGATTCTCCCTCTTATGCTGCGTTATTTGGAGTATGTTTCAGCTGCGTTCACTTCGCTTCCACTGAGTTATGCAAATGTGCTTCCTTGCTTCTTTAAATGTGCTATTTCTTTTCTTGAATCCAACTATGCTTTAGCAGTTATCTGTATCTGTATAGGCTGTTGTACTAGTTTGAATTTGCAATTCTTACCTGCCCATCTATTTCGCGCGATCATATCATACACGAACCCAGGTCATTAGACCATTGGGATGTAGAGATCACAAGGAAAAATATTTTGTCAGCTCCATCGCCTCCCGTTAGTCACAGGGATCAAGGTGGACATTCAAGTCGGTACCAATGGAACCGCTGCATTGACACAGGAAGCAACAAGTTCCGAGTTCACTCAACAGGTAAGAATCCAACTGATGTTTGAAACATTCCTCCGACTGCGCATAAACGACATACACAGATAGATTGTGCCACTCGTTCACCACTCTGGTAGACAGAGTGACGTCACAACGGACCCGAAGTCCCCTTTGTTTAAACAATTTCCAATGGTGACCCCGAGTCGAACTGAAAGAATTGAGTGGAAAGAAATTTTGCAGTTCAGCTCTAAGTTCACCTCTAACAATACGTCGTGTGAAAATCAAACCTCCGCGATCTCGACGATAAGCTAGGGAGAACAAGTTCAGGCGCTGGAGACGAGATGAGTAAGGCAGGTTTCGTAACTCTAAAATGCATTTAGATCCTCTCCGCCGAACTTTATCATCCAAGTTGCATTCAGATTTGGAAAGAGGATAGACATCGGGCAGTCCATACTCAAGAATCGGACGTACATGAGAAGTGAAGAGGAGCCTGAAGATCTCCGGAGTCAAGCGGGAGAAGGATCGTCGTATGGCAAAAAGCAACCTGTTGGCATAAGCGACTTTCCTCAAGTTATCTTCAGTCGATTTTAAGTCTGAGGTCACAACGACGCCAAGGTCCCTCGCATGATTAGAGTTTGGCAGCAAAAACCCACCGATATGGTAAATTCCAAATGGTTCGGAAGAACGGAACATTTATCGTGATTTATGGATAATTGATACCTGATCGACCAACCATGCAGCGAATCGATCCTTGTTTGTAGTACATCCGCTTCATCCATACAGGAGACCATCCATAGCTTTAACTCATCTGCGTAAATCAAACACTGCCTGTAGTACAGACGCTAGGTTATTAGTAAAGACTAAAAAGTTCGGGGCCAAGCACAGAGCCTTGCGGAACACCGCTGGTCATATTTACAGGGAAGGAAAGGGACTCATTTACTTGCACACAGAAAGCGCGATTATGCAGGAAATAAGTGCACCAAGTGAGGATTTTTCCTAACACACCAATATTGTGAAGTTTAGCTAAACAAAATTCCGTGCGGAACTTTGCAAAAGCTTTACTGAAATCCACAAATGCGACATCCATCCGCTTACCAGCATCCATGGCTCTAACCCACTTCTCGAACAATTAGAAAATTGGTGACACATGGACCCGAACGACGGAACCCATGCTGCGTAGCTGAAATGATCTTGAGGTTCTGGAAATGCAAGTTGAGATATCGCTTGAGAATCCTCTCCATTACTTGTCGTTTAACTTAAATTTGCCAACCACTTAGCTATTTGATCTATGTTACGGCGTACTGTTTCAGGTACATTTCACTTGACCGTCCTTATTGATAGAAAAACGTGCAGCACATTTGATATTATCATGTCACTTCGGGCTTGAACTGACTTCTATTACCACTTATTCTGCACTTGGCTCAGTATTAATTCTTTGCTCCTATATGTTCCACGTTTCGGTTTTCACATCTTCGATTGTTGGATTCTTTAGCTGCAACAAAACATCTGCTTCTTCAGTCATGCAAACTCCAAGCAGGTTGCAAGTCAATTCATCTCCGGTGAGTACTTCGCCATTCCTAATTTAATTCTGTCAGAGGCGACCCCACGTGCTGATAATTTAAAACTAGTGGAAACTAATGTACGAACTAGTACCGAAGAACGGGATTCACTAGTCAACCTGCCGCCTTTGGAAGACGCTGCTGTTGGAGACATGGAGCAAAATCCAATTCCTACCTTTAATGAGTTCCACGCCATGCTTTCTGAAGGTTGGTTGACCTACATAATATTAGTCGTTTTATATTCTGTTATCCGTTTTCGTCTTGTTTAAATTTCCTCCTACTTCCTCCTTCTCCTTCCAGTTTCCATTTTTCGATTATATTCCCAAACAGAATCCTTCTTCCAAATTGGTTTTCCGGAGTGCTTTTGGTGATACACTTTATGCGTAGGGTTTTATTATGTATATACGTACGTACAATGCGCATGTTTGAATTCATTTGTGATAGATAGTTTTGGATCCAAAGAACAGACAGGAGTCGCGGTCATTGCAAGTTTAGAAAAGTGGCAGGTTATCCGTCTCCGATCACTGCGCATAGTTTTTACTGGTGTTCTGGAACTACGGCTACTATTTATTGGTTGTTGCATGGTATACTGCATCTCATTTACCCACTCGGTACAATTTACAGCACAGTAACTGTTTTCCCATCTCTAGCTAATGTGTTTAACAAATCATGAATGACTCAGTGCAATTGAATACGCCCTCTGATCAGGTCACTTCGTTTCCTTCTTTGCCTTGTCAGCTGCTTCAGTGCATGTTCACCGCCATTGGGCCTGGTTTGGTATGGCCTCATAGGGGCTTTATGCTGATTTAGCAAGTAGTCATGAGCGAACCGTTGAATCGATAAGGTCACCATGTCCGGCTCTATTCCTCTCGATGGGTGTATCGTAATGAACCTTATTAGCGGCTAGTTGCTTTGTCTTGCATGGCACATCCGATTTGTCGGTAACTCCAGTTAGTATTTTCTTTATGACGGATTGACTTATTCTGCTTACTGGTGTATCCATCTCTTTCATCGTTGGTGGTCAGTTACAAAATAATAACGTCAACGACTGCACTTAACTAGCACATGACTTTAAAGCATCAACCATACGTTGGTACGCAGTACAAACACTTCGCTGTCACGCAATTACCACCTGTCACACATGGGCTATGGATGCCTCGACGCTCGCCCAATCCTTACTCAGGTTCGAACCCTCGCCCTCAGCTTATGTGCGGGCTTATGATCCTCAGGGTTACAGGTTGGCATCTGGTTTGTTCTGCCAGTTCACTTCCAGCTTTTCAATAAATGACATCAGTTAGCAATAAATCAGATTATTTCTAACTCCGGTAGAATGTTCATGCTTAGATTTGTCCACTGAGTTGAACAATTTTTCTACAGACCTCTCATCAGCCGAGGTGGCTTTTCAGTGCCTTCTTGCGTATAGAACAATATCTTAATCTAAGTAATAAAGAACTGAAAAAGTCACATTGACTGGTGATGACACGTCTACAGAAAATCGCCCAGCTCGATTAGCAACTCAAGCCATGAATGAGATTAGTTCATTATCACAAAATTCCTTGTGCCATCAGCGGTTTCTTTTAAATTTCTTGTCATTTATCCTTGCTTTTCGTCCTATTCTTTCTCTGCTTCTCTCATCTACTCTTGTTGTGTGTCTGGGTCTCCCAGCAACGTTAAAAGATTGGAGACATGTCGGATCATCGCACAGTCGCCCTATCCTCGTTTCTGCGGTTCCCCTACGATCAGGTGTTTTAGAATCTCACTCGCTCACTCGATTCTTCGCCTGTTCGAACGCACTGTGGCAGACACACGACTTGACCGTGATAGCGTGAGGCTGTCTGTTTGTCCCGCGCTTGCGATCGCGCGTGATGAATTGACGTTGCTCGCTGTGCTCTCCCAGCATTCCCACCTTTTTGATAGCTACGTCCACTCCTTATACGAGACGGACTTGTAGTGCCTGCTGTTGGCTCCCTCTGGTGACAAACGCCTCTGCAAATGTATCCTGTTCCGCCGCCTGATCACACCTTCCGCATCCACTTCATAGGACCGGCAGCCTCGGTTGCCCAGCACCATTCCTTTTGTCCCATCTTCTAGGAGCCTCAGTAACTCGCCGCACCCACACATTGTCCCCCTCTTTTGGTTGCGGTTGGTCACGAGCACCTTGATCGTGTTGCAATGTTTGACGGCACGTGCGCTGCCACAAATCCTAGCGTACACGGGCTTGATCCAACGTTCCGGGTTGAAGTGGTGCATCAGTGCGTGGGAGAATGGTGCGTACCCTTCCGAACATCCTTTGGGGCGGGTTGTGAGGTACAATTTCGCTAGCTGTGTTTCTTTTCTCCAGTAGTATTATATAAATATCTTCGTTTGATGCCATGGCTAACTGCATAATCTTCTTGGCTGTCTTGACCGCCACTCTAGCCTTTCCGTTTTCTTGGTTGCAGTAAAGACTAAAAGTCAAATGATGAAATCCCCATTTTTCCGCGAACATTTTGAATTCCGCGCCAGTAAACTGTGGCCCGTTCTGGGAAATCAGTGTCGGGTATACCGTACCGTGCGAAATGCGTCTTTAATTAGTTTACCACTATCTGCGCGGTGGAACTACTCCAGCACTCCAGTTCCAAAGATCACTGAACTTGTCGGCATTAATAAGTTATTGCTTGCTCTCACACGCACAAAGGTCAACTACAGCACATTGCGACAGACTTTTCGGGACTTCTTTCAACATCATTTTATCTTTTGTTTGTGCGCTGTCATGGCTTCTGCACATTTCACAGTTGCTAACAAAAGTTTTGATGACACTGCTCATGTTGGACCAATAATAGAGCTCCTTCGCCCTTTAAATACAGCCATTTACATTGGTGTGCGCGACGTAGATCAGTTTTCCGCTGACTGACTTTTGGCACTACAATTTTTTCCTTAGATATTAGTCCATCCTGCACAGTAATCTGTTCGCAGTCGTAAAAAACTGCCACCTTCTCTGGGGCATCTCTCTCCTGGCGACCCTTTTTCGATTACTGCCGTCAACTGTAGCGTGGGATCCACTGCAGTACCCGCTTCCAGATTTGCGCTTTCTGTCCTAGGTGGCGAACTGTAGTCAATAGTTGCAACGGTATCGATCTGGAGACCTTAAGTGAAGAAATTCAAGTAGTTGGCTCGAGATAACCTATCGGCAATGTACATGCTGTTGTCCGACTGGTAGACCAACTCGATGTCATATTCTTGCAGCTGATCATCATCCTTCGTGGTGCTGCGTAGAGTGGCTTCCTCCTTATTGCAACTAGGGGTCCATTCTCCGTGTACACTATGGTTTTCCTGCCAGAAGTGTACTTGTTGAACCGCTCCATGGCAGGCACCACCGCTAACATTTTCTCCTCGATCTGCGCAACGAGACTGGACCTTAACGTAGTGCGACGGTTTGCGTACCTCATTGACCCATTGAGCTATACTGGGTGATGCCTCCGAGCATCTTGAGAGCTACTCCTATCAGGTTGGTCAATGGTGTGAGGTCAGACAAACTCAGTCTCCTGGTCCTCCAGGTTGGGGGTTTGAAATGGGATGGCGTCCATTTCTGTAAAACTAAATCATTGCCACCTCCCCGCTGCCTTGCGGACAGGCTTTGAGCCATAAGCTTTGGATGAGGACCCTAATCGTCCTCCTGTCTAGGTCTGGGCGCCCTGGCAGTATCCCAGCCCACATACAACCATGACATTTTCTTCAAACATAAATTTCATCCTGCATCGGCCGTCGCGCAGATTATCAAGGGTCGCCTTATATGCTGCATACAGCAGGGCGGATAAGCGAAAGCATGCTACTGCTGGCGTCTCCCTTCTTTCTTTTCCACCTTTTTCTCTTACTCCCATCCCGGCCCCCATTACTAACCTTCCTTCTATAATTCCCAGCTTAATTGACAGCAACCGAAGTGCTACTGGAGTAGAACCATCTGCAGCCACCATCCCACAGCACCTATCGGACGCCTATCGGCAAAAGTTCCTTATAAGGCCACGCTGTCCCGTTACCATGGCGACATTCAACGTCCGCACTCTAAGACAAACAGGTCAGCAGGCTGCACTCGCACGCACCTTAGACACACTGGGTGTTGATGTGTGTTGTGTGTCCGAAACTAGGATTAATGCCCCTAACGGGGTTATTGAATTGACTGCACCCGGCTTATCCTCTCGTTATTGGTTGCACGCATCCGGAGACGCCGATGCGGCACTCACGGGTCAAGCTGGTGTAGGTATCATTCTCAGCTCCAAGGCTGAGTCATCGTTGGTTGATTGGATTCCGGTGAACAGCCGTTTATGTGCAGCCCGTTTGACTACATCAGCTAAGGTGAATTCGCGAAGTAAAACAAAACGCTGTTTGTTTGTGATTTCTGCTTATGCTCCCACGGACTGCAGTTCTAATGCAGTCAAGGACACTTTCTATCACGAACTGAACACGCTGCTCCGCAGTGCTACTAGTTCAGATATTATAGTACTTGCAGGGGATATGAACGCACAAGTAGGGCGTCTGAGCTCTTCAGAAGCTCAGCTGGGTGGTAATTATGGACTTAACGCCGAACGGACTGACAACGGCGAGCGTCTGCTGCAACTGTGTGCGGAGCACCAGTTGTTTCTTACTAGCACTGCTTTTAGACACAGTGGGCGCCGAAGTGCCACTTGGCGTCCACCTGTAGCTGGTCAGCGATGGACCCAAATTGACCACATAGCCATAAGTTACAGGTGGCGCGGTTCCATTCTGGATTGCCGCTCATACTGGAGTACCTGTGTCGACTCTGACCATGCCTTGGTGCGCTGTCGTTTCTCCATGAACTTTACCGGAAGGCGCACAAAGCGTCTCCCCCCGATTGGCAACGGAGAAATTGTCCCAGCCCTCTGTCAGGCAAGCCTATCAAGAAGCACTGCATAGCGAACTCTCGCTGTCTTGCCCTAATGACACTGAACTTCAGTGGAATAGGATCTCGGCCGCTATGCACGACGCAGGAGCATCTGCTTGTGACACTATCAGTCGTCATCGCACCAGTCACTGGATATCCGAGAGGTCCGTGAACCTTTTGGAAGCTAGAAGGCACCTCCCGGCTGGTTCTGAACACAATGTGACCAGACGGGCTATTAGGCGTGAACTAAAGCGGAGCCTACGTGCTGACAAGGAAGCCTGGTGGACCAGTCGGGCTCAAGAAATGGAGGAGGCAGGAGCAGTAGGCAATTACCGAAAGCTCTTCCAGCTAATCCGCACCACTGGTCCGAGGAAACCAGGCGTCAGTGAGACAATCAGGGACAGCGCGGGTGCGCTGATACACAATAATGAGCGCCGTATGGCTCGTTGGGCTGAGCATTTTGAACATCAGTTCAGCTGGCCCCCTGCTCCC